GCCAAGCAAGCAGAGACTGTGGGTCTCTCTTCATTTTTGACTTGTAAATAGTGATTCAAATCCATCCTCTGTTCCTCTTTGCCAGAGAGATTCTACTCTGATTTATACCAGAAGAGCATAACCTGACTCAAAGGACTTAACGTGACGTATTGAGTCTTCGAAGACCTTTAAAATTGTTAATGGACTATAAATCCTCTACAGCATTTTAGGGTTAGGATGATAAGAAACCACTGTGTGAACTGAGCTGTAAAATTATCGAACACTTTTGCAGCCAGCTTCCTTAAGTTAATGGTATTGAACTAGTTGTCCAATTTCCTTTGTGAATTTTTTCATGTGACGCACAGTTGCAAATCCCTGAGCTTTTTTTTTTTTTTAAATCTATAACTTGTTCAGGAAGTATTCTCTGACAAATCTTTGTATTGTGTTATCCTTTAGCCATTTTAACACTTTCTATTCCACGACCGATAGTAAATACTTTGGACGGTTGTGGAGTTTTTTGTTTGTTTGAGGTTTTTCTTCATCATTCTTTTCTTTTTTTCTTTTTAAGGTTTGCCTCACTCATTTCTGTGTTTGAGTTGTGGTAAACAAAGGCAATGGACCTGTGGAGGTTTTTTAGTATTCTGATCTGATGATAAGTTAATATACAGCTTCCGAAACCTTTTTTTTAAGCACTTTTTAGTCATAGAACCTTTCTGGTTCTGTAAATTCCCGACTCCTTTAAAAGCAATGCTCTGGTACATTCGTGACTTCAGCCTTGCCCTTCTGTACACGTTGTATATAAAGACTACACAGCAGAGCTGGCAGTGCTCCTGCCTCAGTAAGCTAGGCTTAATAGTGTTAGGCCTAAATGAGAGTACAAGATTTTAAAGCAAAAATAAAGCAAAAATATGAAAAGAATCTGCTGTTGCTCACAAATGGTTTTCCTCAACACCCCTGCCAAAAAAACCCCCGAAACACACACACACTGTAACATCCAACTACAGCACTAAATAAAACTCTTAAAACAGGTGTGTCATGGTGAAGTTACAAATGGCATTATAAATTCTTACATAAACAGTAAGCATTCAAATCTGAAAATCACCACCACTATCTAGATAGATATAAATAGTTGCTTGTCAGAAATAACTGTTCCGTTAATATTTTGGCACTTTGAGTTCCAGTGAGAGAAGATTCAAACTTACACTTCATACTGCCAAAAGCTGTTGCAGACAAGTTAGTCAAATAATACTGAAATGCCACTGTGCATAGACACAGCCTTCCTCTAGTAAGAAGAGAGAATTCCAATGGAATACATGAATTTTGTATATCCTCTCATACTTTGCTCGACGGTGACATGTCTTGGAAAAGAGGGCACTGTGGGAAGGGTGGGTGCTGAAATATTTAGCTTGACTAGAAAATCTGTTGGGGAGAGAAAGGAGAAACCAATGAATGAACAGTGACGAACAGCTGCTGGCTACTGGAAGTATTGTTTCCTTCTGCATGTGAGGAACCCTCACAGTGGGGCTTTTTCCCCCCATAAATTCTAATGAGGTCTAGAACACGCTGTTATGTAAGTTGAATCTATTTATTGATTCACACATGTAACCGAAACAGGTATTTGTTTGGTGCTTCTGCTCTAACTGCTGAAGGAAGACCTAGCGTCAGCGTTACCCTTTGGCAGGGCTTATTCCACTCTGCTGACTGTTAGCACACAAGCACCAGCTCAATTAAATCCCCGAAGTCAGCTGCATCCATGCTCTTTGTGAAAATGTACAGAACATTGAAAAGAGCAAGAGCTCTCTGTTGCACTGAATCGTGTATATTTTGCTTTAAGGGACAAGCATTCTAAAGATACTTGAAGTACATAAGTTACTAATAGCTTTCAGACTCCTAAGATAATTTTTACAAAATTTGCAAATTCTATTTACAGTAACTTTAAACATAATCTTCTTTTCTCTTTCTTTGCTAGATACTTCAGACACTAGGTTTTAAGTGCTGTGCATAGCCTGTGGGTGTCCTTGTACTTCTGGCTGCATATGTTAAAGATTTTTCCTATAAATTATTTAGTGGTAGAATATTCTAAACACCTCTCTTGTTTGTGTTTATGCACGCTCATATTTAGTGAAATAAGCATGGAAATGGATTCCACTGTTGTGTGAACTAAGTCCATAATAATTCACACATGTAATGCTTCAGATTTGAATAACCTGAAGATGAAATAGGAACTGCCTTTGGTTGATCTAGAGTGCTCCTTCTGTGTATGGTGTTAGAAGTTTCACCTCGGTGTATTTGAAATCCAGACTTGGTAAGGTTGTCTATAAGCAACCTCATACCTGACCGTTATACCTATATCTAAGCGTTCATACCCTTTTCTCTTTCATTTTCTGAAGTCCTGTCTGATGTACCTGAATGTTTTGATTATCAATATGAATATTCAGTTCTTTTGCAATACTGTTTAGTTCTTACCTAGCATCAAAGGCATCCTGTGGCTGTATATTACAGTGTAATTATGAGTTGTGGGCATTTTAGAAAACCTATTTTCTAATACTTTTCAACAAAACAAAACCTGTTTTCATGCCAGGCAGAGTTTGAATATTAATCTAGGCTAGAAATATTTGTAACAAGTCCATGAAAGCGTAAAAAGTTCAAAAGCTGTCATGAACTGCTTGCAACTCTCGTGCTCCATTGTGATAATGCTGCTGGTCTTGCAACAGAATGATAGAAATATCTTTGAAATCATATTAACACACTTTGTTACTTGCAGATAACTGCAGTTAGATGCAAAAATACAGTCAGGATGGAGTTAAAACTGAGATGCTTTCTGTGTGCAAGTAATATCCCCCAAATTACTGAACTAATATTTGTCTGAGAATTTCAGCCGTGTCTCAAATTTAAAAACTTTGTCATTTGGGGGACATTATTTTAATAGATTAAGACACCGCAGTTTTAAGTATATCCTGAATTCAAACTTGGCATGGCGACGGTACTTACTTAAGAATTCATGCAGGCTTGGAGTACTGTCTGTTAACTGGAACTTTTAAAATTTCAGTGTTAAGTACATGTGTAGAAGAGAAGTGACTGAAGGGCCTGGTTCTGTCTGATAACCCACTGTATCCCAAACTAGGAAAGTGTTAGCTGCAGCTGTGGTTTTCCTCTGAAGTAAGATGTCTTCTACCTTATAGCACCTTTTCTCCCCTCTGTCATATTAGTTGTTGCTGAGAAATTAAGCTGGGTTTGATAAACGTTTGCCAACCTCAAGGGCCTGTACAGCACCTGTTTTGGAGATGTGCTAAGCATGCTGACATGATTTGAAAACTCAGAGCAAAGTTTTGATGTTTTCAGAAAGAGTTTGCTTATTCAAGCATGTTAAGCAGCTGTGTTTCCAAGAAACAAAGGACTGATGTATGGAAGGTCTAGAAAAGTTTCCAGAACAGTTGTTTTCTTCCCAGCCCCTGTAATGGGAGCTGGTAAGGCTGTTGTGGTCCCTTTTCAGAAACTCTTCTTGCTTTTTCACCCTACTCGATTATGAGGAAAAAACCTAAATGTGTCCTTCAGCTCATTTAGCATTGCTTTCTTACAGAGTTCATCTTGATCCCCGCAGAATCCAGGCTGTAAAACACAATGCCAGCATGTTGTGTCTCAGACATCCTGCTGACACTACTCTGCTTATCTAATCATACTAATATTGACATATGACTGCTTCTCTTGTATTCTGTGGTAACCCTTGTTCTTTAGATATCTACAGTTCAGTGCAGATATGTCAATATAATCTGGGCTTGCAGCTTGCAGTCAGATACTGACCATCCTCTGGGATCCTCTGGTGGATTTAAAGGTCATTACCAGGTAAGAGATTACTGCTAGGCATGTTCCTATAAAATACGAATTGTTTCATCAGTGATTTTGAGACTTTAAGGTTGGTTTTGATCTAATTTTAGGACAATAGAAAATTCAAATTTCGAAGTGTGTTCACAAGACTTGGGGAGAGTAGCTGATATGTTTCACCATGACTTGTAAATGTAAAAATTCTTTTTATAATGCTACAGTTCAAAATAAGGCTACCTTGAAAAAGAACTCCAAACTTTTCTACTTCCTTTTTCTTACAAAATGAAGTTTTACTGATATGAATGTGTAGTGTCTTTCTGCCTTTCTTTTTATAACTTTTTTTTTTCAAAATTGCAAGAGACCTGTATGTTTTCCAGAAGATGACTCTGGAGTATTTGTCTTCACAGTCAATACTGCTCTTTTTAAAGATAGTTTATTACTTCCTATCTGTCATGGTTTAATCCAGCAGCCAGGAACTAAGCACTAGGCAGCTACTTGCTAACCCCTTCCCCCCCCACCCCCCAGTGGGATGGGGAGGAGAAATGGACAGAAAGTAAAACTCATGGGTTGAGATAAAGACAGTTTAATAAGACCACAAAGGAAATACTACTACTAATAATGACTACGCAAAACAAACTATATACAATATACTTTTCTCACCACCTGATGACCAATTTGCAGCCAGTCCCCAAGCAGTGATCATGGAACCCAGAAATTCCAAAATTCACTAATTTAATGAATTTTGCAAAACTCCCAAAAAAGACCAAGTTTACAGACAAGAGAGGATTTGAACTCACAGAAACGGGAAATAAGCAGATCCCTGTCCCCCTCCCCCCCTCTTTGATTTCATAGCAACAGCTAAAAATATCAGTGTTATCAACATTCTTCTCGTACTAAATCCAAAATACAGCAGCTACTGGGAGGAAAATTAACTCTGTCCCAGCTGAACCCAGGACATGATCCACCGCTTCTTCTATACCATCTACGTCATGCTCAGGTCACACACTTTCCAGTGAATCACTACCACTTTTCCTGTCTTTTGGTATATACACAAAGATATCATTCCCTTAGTCGATGGGCTATCTAAGATGTCCATTGAGTTCATTTAGTCCATGACTTTGGGTTCCATCTGTCATAACAGTCTTTCAGGGCAGGAGAGATGATGCAAAGTCAGTAGAGCAGGACTGGCCTTCGGTATGATGCGGCAGGCAGATGATGTGGGCGCAGCAGGAGGATGGTGTGTAGTGTTCAATTGTCGCATGCTGCCTCTGGAGCTTGCAGCTGGTGTATCTGGCATGGCCCACGATCTGCAGGTTGAAGGTGTTGATCTTGAGGGAGTTGCTGGGTGATAGTTGCTGAAGCCAGTTCTCATTCTATCACGACTGCACTTTGCTCAGTTGGTCCTTGAAATACCCTCTCCTTCCTGTCCTGGGTACTTTGAGTCATGACCCACAGCTGCTATAGGCTCAGCTCTCCAGGGACTCGCACACTTGATACCATCCAAAGCTGTAGCCCAACAGCTACTGGATTTGTAAGTTAGAAGCCTGTTTGCCAACTGAAAATTAGAGATAGCCCTAGGCCAAAGCTTTAGATTCAAAACAACTTTAAGCTTTGACACTAAAAACATGATCTAGATAGTCTTGACCCTATGCTAACAAGGTGGGGACAGATAATATTTCTAAAGTGTCAATAAAATTTTATTAAGCTTAGTCTTCTAATGAGCAGCTATGAACTGAAGATAAAGAACTGAAGATAAAAATCTGCATTTCTCCATTAAAGAGAACTCTTGGTCTTGTTGTGGTTGAAGACCTTTAAATATCTCTATACACTAGCACTTGACAATGTAAGCAGTGAAGATTTTAATCTGATTATTGCAGAGATTTTGGTTTTTAAAGACACTTTCATAAACAATATTTAGTCCTAAGGAGCAAATGGATCGCATTTCTTATCAGAAGCAGGGTATTTTGCAGTTTCACAGAGAGAGCTAATGAACTGGCTAGTGGAGGGTTGTAGAACGAGTAATACCTCTTGCTGGGTGAAATCTATTGCATAATGTTAACCTTTTGCATGAGCCAAACTTCTCAGGATAGTAAACAATACACAAATGGTACCGATAGTGCAGCCTCACAAAACAAGCAAGTTACGGTTGATTTACCATAGCAATGCCATTATACCTCTCGTACTTTGAGATCCACATCATGCCTCTAGCACTTGTAATTCACTATTAAAATTACAGAATCAAACTCTCTTGTAAAACTTGGGATCCCACTTTTCCCTTTGAATGTTTTACTGTACCAGTACGAGGTACTGTACAGTACGAGGCCAGTGTGGCTTAAAGGAAAGATTCCTCTTAATTCTGTAATTTCAGAAACTTTCCTGCTATGATATATACGGATATATTTCTAGTGCTATTCCATGAACCTAAGCTTTCAAAAATGAGGCACAATCTGCAGATTTATGAGATTCAGGCTTTTTTATCTTAAGATTTTTAAGCCAAACAATATGTTTTTTATTTGGCTTCTGTGGTTATTTCAGTCTTCACAGTACCCTTTGACTGTGTTCCTAGAGCTCTAATCCCTGAATTCCCTTTCAGTGTTTGTAAGAGCACAGAGGAGAACTGCAAGATTCCTGAGCTGGCAATATTGGAAACAGTGTCTATTTTAGCATGCTACTAATCTGTAATTTATTTGACTGTGAGGCTCTGGAAGTTAAAATATAGTGGCTGTGAGTGCTGGAGTCTGCCTGGCCAAGTTAAAAATGAACCAATAGAACTGCTTGGAATTCGCTTACCACAGTAAAGAAAATGACTTCGGGAACATACATGAAAACAGATGTCAGTCTAGTATTTTTACATACCTGCCCAGACACTTCCTCTAGAAATATCCATTGCTGTATGTCATTTCATTCAAGGATGTTTAGCTACAGGACATCATTTTTTAATCCTATTTAAATAGTTAATCCAACTAAGAGTTGAGAGAAAAAGAGTGCAAATGTTAATGCAAGGGATGGGTGTGTCTATTTGACCTGCCAAATGACAGAATTATAACATGACTGCTATTTTCAAATAGGTTTATTTCAGTTGGTTTGAATGACAATAAACAGAGAGGATTCTTCTAACTTTGAGGTAAGTAAATAACACATAGGATTACAAATCATGCTAGCTTTGATGTAATTAGCTACAGCTTCACTGAGTTTCCTAAGAGAAACCCACTTCAGAGAGGATTGGGCCCTTCAGAAGATTGGCGAAGCTGATTATGCGTCGTCTTGCCCACTGCCAGTCACCATCTGGCGCGCAGGCACCTTCTGGTGCTTTAAACGTGGCAGTAACATTACACAGGTGTAAGAAAAGCAGGAAACAAAACAATAGTGAATCAGGACCATGAAATACTTGGTTTGCAGTGTACAAACAGATTGTTCTTTCAGTTTGAGAATTTGGCTCTGTTAGCATTTGGCTAAGCTTTATCAGAGTTGAGATGAACAAAGATCAGACTTTGTGATTGCATCTGTGCATCACAAGAATTTACACAGAATCTGGAGGAGCCCTTCAAGTGCTTTATGTACAGCTTGAAAGGTACAGGACCTCTGTTCTTATCCTGAGTACGCCCTGCTAGCTCTTGCGGTCTTTTTTGGTAACATTCAGTTTTGAAACTTTTTTTCTTTTAAAACTAGAGCAGTACGAAGGCATCACTCCTTGAGGAAAAATTTTGGCTGTCTCTCAGAAACAGAGCAGGATTATCATTCTGCAGAGGACTGGCAACAGAGAATAATTCTTAATGGAATTATGCAGGAATTCCTTGAACTTTTCAGCATTATGCAAATATGGGCCTAAGAACTAATGCAAATACGAGTTTACTTAATTGCACTAATTTAAATAATCCTTTATATTTCCGTTACTGATAAAAAGGAAGTCTTAAAGTAATCAGTTTTGAGATTTGACCTGCACAACAGAGCACTGACAAATCTTTTTGATGCAACCAGCAACCTGTTTTGATTTACCTGTTTTAACCAGTTTGCAGTCATTTCCTTCCAAATTATCTACTGGTCATAAGACACTTTTCAAATACAGACTTCTTCAGAGTGCCTTCAATAATCAACCGTGACTAGAGCTGCGTTTAGAAATAGACATGCTGAAGAAACAAGCAGAGGAAGTGCCAGTTCTGCTACTGACGTAGCTGCTGCCCAAGAACGTTGTGATTCCCTTAGCAGCAAAGGAGATCTGGTGTTGGTTTCTGTGAAAGCGACCCAAAACGCACACGTAAACGGAGGGGTGGGTAGGGCAGAGCGTCTTCACAGCTGGTGGTGTAACCGGTGCTGATGGGGACTGTCATTTGGAACAACCTGCAACTAAATTGTGCAGGGGCTGTTTTAGCTGCCGCCAACCAAGTAGGATGGAAGCATGAAAATATCTTATGTATTCAGGCTCTAATTCGGAAACAGTAACATCTAGGTTTTCCAATAGTAGAATTTATACAACTGTAGTGGTGTCTAGAATTTTTTTGGTTTTTTCCTGGTAGTGGGTTATGCTGCCGGCATTTTTTTTTCCGCTAGGTGCTTTGTGCGTTGTGGTATGGATGTGGTTTATGAAGAATTTATCCAAATGAGTTTTGCTGCTTGTAAAGTGGCCCTAGCCATGCCTCCTTCACAGTGCTGTTACCCAGACTGCCTGGCACATGCCGTGCAAAATTCTGGTCTCGGAAAATTTGGAATCGGGGACAGTGTCTCAGCTCATGTAACTCAGCAGTTCCACAGAGGTCTGAATCAGAATCTGTTTAAACAAACACACTTGTTTAAAAATATGCTGTATCTGTCCACTGCAGAGATATGTAAGAAATTTTGTAACAGTCAGTTATAGAATAACTTGTTCAGGGTACAAATGTCTCCTGGGCCGGAGCTGCTGCCCGGAGGGGATCTTTCTCTCACCCACCCGAGCGACAGCCCCCAGGAATACATCAGTGACCAGCCACAGTTTTCTCCATTCCTTAAGAAGGATGCATGAAATAACGTGCTTTTTGGGTTTTGTTTTTTTTTTGTTTTTTTTTTTTTTTTT